CTTTCCCATCACAATACGTTTTTTGATTTCCTAGCTACTGGTGCCAAGAGTGTTGACCGTGGAGCCGAGCAAACTGAAGCTGTGAACAATCTCAGTCTCTTCACCATCCATCCTGATGCTACCGATTGGTCCAGTAGTGAGAATTTTTGTCTTCTGGACATTGAGCCTCAATCAGTGGAAACTGGTGTGAGATTGATTTGGTTTTATTTTCTTTAGAAGAGGAAGCCTATCAGTTATCAGGACAATATTCTGTAGGGAGACAAGGTTGAGAGGCTTGTGGAAATAAGGGACAAGCCTCAGGGAGCTAGCTCTTTGGTTCTCTTAAAAAGGCAGCTGTGGATGAAGAAGAGTCTGACCAACCAACACCAAAATTCTTCCAAATTAAGTTCTGGTGGTCTGGATTCCCTCAAGTCTGGACTACGTTATCGCCTCCAATCTGTCAAGTATGAGACTACAAGGTCAACAAGTATACATTTCCAGGAATGCTCTTACAGGCCCTAAGGTTACATTGAGTGGGTTGAGTGGAGCCTTCCTTCTCCAGGGACTTCACGTGGAGATTTCTTTGATTCTCCACCCAGCAATCTGGTGGGAGGCCTTGATGTACATGACCTCCTGTGTGCCCATGAGTGGGATGAGAGAGTGATAGACCTTCTGTTCTCTGGGGAATCAGGAATAAACACTTTGTTCCTCAGACACATGGCAGTGTTTTTTCTCTCTCACCTTTCAGGGGGAGCAAGGCCTATGGACCAGAAAAGAAAACATCAAAGAAAGCCCAAGAACCTAGAAGTTTCTGGCAAAGAGTCTGGAACGAAGTGTTCTGAGAGCACCACCCATCCAACCCCCTCGACCCAGGGGCTCCTCCAGCTCAGGAGATGCTCATCACCCTAACTGTTCTCTATCCAGAAATCTTTTCATCATCTCCTCACCACGTCTGGGCTGTCTGTGACTGCTGGTAAAAAAAATCCTGCCTTCCTAGCGCCACTTAAAGTTGGCCTTTAAGCTCCTGTCCCTCCTCCCAAGTGGTCAGAGAACTGTAAGTTTGCCCCATTCCTCCTGTTTTATACTTTTTACTAGGAAGAATGGCCAAGGTGTGAGGGATAATTAGGAAGTGTCATCTGAGATCGGTGGGATCTGATATTGTGCAAGTGTCTCAACTCACGGACTGGTTAAGTATGACCTGAATTGGATCTAGGGAGGTAGGAGGGGAATGGCTGTAGGTATCTGACCATGTGGGTGGCTGTTGCCAAGTATCTCCTCTCTTGGAGCAATGATGATATGGAGTGGATGAACATCTCCCACTGGATGTATCTTCCAGCTTATAAGAGAGAGGGGAAGATATAAAGAAGGCTGGGGATTCTGGGGTCTCCAGGAAGGAAAAGAAGGCTCTCTTTCTAACCACTTTAACTCTGCCAGCAGGAAGAATGTCACCAGTTGTGATGTGGCTACTTTCCTTCCAGTTCCTTCTGGGACCAACCCTGATTTTGAATAACAACCTACAGACTGCCATCAAGAACTTTAAACACTTATTCATTGACTTCCCCCGCCTTGAATATGCAAGCAGTTTCAAGGGCTACTGTAATGGTATTATGAGCTATGTGCGGGGCAGAATGCAAAGATGGGATTGTCCAAATGTCCACTACTTGGTACATGTCTCCTACAAATCCATCCAGAAGTATTGCAAGCATAGTGACAACTTTTGTGAGAACTATAACCAATACTGTACAATAACAAATGACTCCTTCCCCCTCACGATCTGTCAGCTGATGACAAACTACTCACCCATCAGCTGCTACTACAGTACCAACCTAACTAACCAAAAACTCTACCTGCTCTGTTCTCGCAGGTATAATGCTGAACCAATAGATATCATTGGCCTTGTCTAAGAAAGAGAGCCCTTAATTCTAATCTCCTTTCTCATCTCTGTCATCACAAGCTAGTCTTTTTTCATTCCTGAAACACAGAGCCCTGGCTTAAGCCTTCCTTTCTAACTTCCAAGGATTTTCTTCCAAGAGAGCAGTTATGTCATATTTCCATAGTTGTCTCCAACATCTCATATACACCTTCTACTCTTTCTCCCAAGGACAGTTTTACCTACTCAGGAAGCTGACTGTGTTCAGTTGGCAGTTACTGTTCATCCACTGGGCCAGATCCTGAATCCTGGATGGAGTCCCAGAACCTCAGCTCATATCACAGCTGCAAGTACCTAGCTTCTGTATTTCATCTCTGCACACCCACTACCATTCAATTTGCGGTCTTCCTCTATTTACCTAAAAATTTTCTCCAATAACCCACATGGTAGGAATCTCCATGACAAATTGCAGCCTTTCCCCCCAGAACTCCCCTCAGTTCCCACTCTGCTGCTTTCTATGATGTCATCGTTTCTCCTTTTCTATGACCTGCCCTGGCCTCCCTCCTTCTACCACAAAGTTTAGCAGTGTTTTTCCTCAATATTTCCAATCTCCTTTAGTAGCTTTATCTTCCTTTTTCCAATATTTTTTCTTTCTACCCTCCTAACCTTGGCTCACTGGAATTTTAAGTGATCTTCTCTAGCCTTTTCCCCAAAAGAAGATTCCTACTTTTCTTTTCTTCCAACAGCTCCTCCTGACATCCTCTAAACTTGTGGTTATGCTACTGATGGCACCAGGGGAAAGTGAGTCTAGTAAAATGCTAAAACTATGTCTGAGTTATTTAATATAGAACTATTGGAGGGAATGAGATGACCTCTGCATTAGTTTTGCAACCCCAGTAAACTTATGAGCATTTAAAAATAAAAAAAGTTTTAAAAACTACACACTAACTCAGTTCTGATTGACTTTTTTCTCAAGTAATTGATTTCTGCTCTTGGAAGCCTCGGGGTCACCCATTTCTCGCCCGATTCTTGGGCTAGCAGTTAGTAGGATCTTCTCCCCGTGTGGACCATGAAGGATGTGAGATTTAACTCAGGTCTGAGTTGTGTGTTGAAAGCAGATGCTCCACCATTACCCCTCCACCCCTAGCCCAAGCATAAGCTCCTAACAGGAGCTGAACTGAGTAGACTCTCATTGACTTCTGTGTATTCCTCTTCAAGAAGACCTGAATTGAAACAGGTTAGGAAAACAGATGCACAGGCAAAGGTCCTGTAGGTGGTGGCATGGCAAGATTTTAGCTCTCTTACTTAGTGCATGTTATCAGACAAAACCGACTGCTAGAAAAGGACATTATGGTTAGAAAATGAGATGGCAGCAAAAGGTAGGGAAGTCCTCAATGAAATGGAGCAATACACTAGCTAACACAATGGATTCATACATGCAACAATTATGAAGATGGCATAGAGGGGACAACATTTTATTCTGTTATCTTTAAGGTCTGACTATGAATCAGAGCTAACTGAAGGACCCCTAACAGCATGTCAACTCAGGAATTACTATTTTCTTTTGGGAGGCAGGCTCTGGTGGTGTCGTCTATTGGGAGTTGTACTGCTAACACAAGAGCCGCACCTCTCTGAGGGTTTGAATCCACCAGCTGCTCTGAGGGAGAAAGTTAGGCAATCTTCCCCTCGATTTCCAGCCTCAGAAACTCAATGGAGGCTAGCTATGAGTTGGCTCCAATTGTACCACGATGAGATGATGAGGTTTGGGAGGTAGAAGGAGCCTGGAGGTATAGGATGTAACATATTGAACTGCTAACAGAAGAGTTTACAACCTGAATCTACCAGTGGCTCCAAGGGAAAAATATAGACACTCACAGCCTCATAAATTGAATGGAGGGTTGCTATATATAAGGATCAACTTGACAGAGAGCAGTTATTTGTTTGTATGGGAGGTAAAGGAGGTGGATACCAGCAATGTATCCACAAGCAACAAATTCATGTAAATACATGCAACAAATAGTTTTATCTCTTCTTTTGGTTCATCCCTTATCACTAAATATATCCTCCCCATGTCCATTGTTGAAAGCAATTGTAATTTGTGACTGGGAGATATGAGCAGGGAGGTGGCAGGGAACATTGAGGCTTCTTGTTTCTCCCTCTTTCTATTCTGGTTGGTGTATCTGTTCCTCACCCTAATGGAATACAGGGCTCATTGGCTGCTGCACACACAGATGTTTATTGTTTCCCAGGCTGGTGTTGAAGATGTAGGGTCAGGGGCTGGCAAGCTAATCTGAGGCTCCCTTCTACTTCTCCTTATCATAGGTGCCAGCGCCCTTGTAGCCACTCACGTAGCCTGAGTTGTCAGTCACGTCTTCCCTTCCAGCAAGGCCCTTGCCTTTGCCGCTCTCATCAAAGCGTTCCTTGTGGGAGCCGGTGTACTTGCTGGTGTCTGTCAGCCGTTCCACTCCACCCACCTTTGTTGCTTTCTGCAAGTAATAGGTTTGGTTTGTTCCCTCTTCCCTCCATTCCACTGTCATAACCCTTTTCTAAAGACAGGTTTAGATAGTAGATGCTTCTAGTGCTTTGAGCTTGGCTCCTGCCAAAGTGCTGCTTTCTAAATTCCCAGATACAACTGGAGTGAGAGCCATGCATTCATAAAGGAGGAGGAGGTGGGGTATATGGGAACGTGAAGAGTATGTGGGAGGAGGGAGAGTGGAATTTTGTTTCCAGAAGAGTTTATTCAGACCTGACTGAGGGCTTCAACCTCAGACCCAATATGTAAACTTCCTCCTACTGGAAAGACCCTATTTGAAACCGAGAGAGTAAAGACCTTTTAGTACAGAGGGAACAGAGAACAGAGGGTGAAAGACAGGAGGTCAAAGATTAGATCTTGTTCAAAGAACAGAAGAGGAAGTGGAGATTGGACATCAAGTGTTCTGCATTCTGTGACCTCACAAAGCCACCAAACCCTAGTTGTCTGGACTCAGATACTAGAGTCTTGCCAAAGAGTCTAAATTCTTTAGACTGGCTATAGATTTTGAGCAAGTCAATTCTCCTCTCTGATTCTCTATTTACTAACCCCGAAATACCTAGATTACCTCAAAAGTCTGTTTCTACATCAACAGGGCTGAAGGAGTTTCCTGCCCTGTCTTCCTAGAGTTACACTGCTGGCAAGGATTAGTGACATTTAAAGGTGTTAGGGAAGATTAGAGCTGCAGAGGACCAGAGAAGTAGGATCAAGAGTTAGGGAAGAGGAATGTTTACTCACAGTAGTACCAGTGGTGGCTGGATCCTTGCCCTCCATGAGTTTATAAATGTCCTCCAGGGCTTCATCTGGGCTCTTCCCCTTGAACCGTTTTGGGCCCAACTCCTTCATTGCCTCTTGAAACTGTGCAAATGTGATGGTTCTGGCATTCTTGGCCCTGGGAGGTCAGACAGAAATCCAGGAACACTAGCACATGAACTCACCCACCTTTGAAGGGCCAATCCTTCTATTAGTTTTAGAATTGACCTCTTCAGTTCTTACACTGGGTATCTTGAGGACAGGGAATAGCAGAATGCGAGGTACCCAGTGAGTGCTCGGTAGGCTCACTGTAAATGTTCAGAACGTGAACTTTAGCAAATTCTACTACTTTGTTCATTCTTTTCTGTTTCTTTCCCCCTCCCACTTCCTTGCTCCCCTTTTATGCTTATGCTTCATTATTCCCTTACTTGACTTTGCTGAATACAATGTCCACATCTGTAGAAGTCACCATCTTGCCATCCATGATGCCACAATCTTTGCATAGCTTGCTGAAGTTCTTATTGTTTATTTCAGTACCACTACTAGCTGTGTCTCCAAAGGCAGCAAAACGCTGGAATGTCTTCCCGGCTTCTGATGCCATGATCAATTGGAGGCAGAGGAGGACAGTAAGGAGGCAAACTGGGGGGTGATAGAGGAGGGAAAGAGAGGACTGAGGAGTAATGAAGGTGAGGGGTAAGAGAAAATCAGAATTAGAAAAAAAACACACCAAAACCACCAAACCAAAACCAACCCAGAAACACACACAAAAAAACCAAAAAACACACACACAAAAAACCCCCACTCCATCCTTTCTGATCTCCCCACCCTATTCTCCTTCCCTCTATATCCTGCCTACACCAGCTACAGGATCAGTTTCCCCTTCCAGCACAAGGGATATTAATGTAGATCTTAAAACATAAATTCTCCACCATTTTGCCTCTAACTCACTTATTTTGTATACCTAGGGGGACTCTGATGGTTGCTGATCCTTCTCAGCCTTTGTATAGGTGTGTGCAAAGATATATGGGAGCCTGATGACTGGGGAGACTGGCAAGGAGAAGACAGAAAGGGGACAGGCAAGCTTCTATGACGTTGGTAGTGTCTATGTGATATCACTTCCTGTCACAGTTACAGCTCTCATCTTTGGGGGAGGGGCTTTTGATTTCCTTACCTTACCTGCTACATTAAACAAGTTGTAAACCTTAGAAACTCTCCTGATGGTCAAACTTACTTCATATATCCATGCCAGATTATCAGTGCTCTGGGAATTTGTCAAATTATTTTATGATCTGGTCCATAATAAAACCTGAGGAGAGTCTAGGGAAGGGATTAATGAAAACAGATTGCTATGGAATGTAATAATACCTTCGTTCCTAGGCTCCAGGACAACACAAAGAAGGAAGAACAGTTGCAAACAGACATTAGTGACTGGAATGTGGAATGTAATAATAATCAATGTAGGAAATTGGACATTGTTAAGGGAGAAATATTGTTCTGTAATGTAGAGTCAGAACCGACCGATAGCTGACACTCTAGTGGGTTTTCAGAGGCAGTTAATTGCACAGGAAGAGATTGCGGAACAGCTGGCGGTCTCGAACTCATGTCTTTGAGATTGCAATGCAGCTTATTGCCACTAGGCCATCAGAGCTCCCTCTGGAGAAATGGAATGTGTGAATATTGACAGACTAGGCATTGGCAAGATGAGATGGATTGCATGGTACCTTTTGAATCAGACAATCATATGATATACTATGCTGGAGATGGAAAGGTGAGGAAAACCTGTGTTGCATTCAAAATACCACTTCCAGATCTATCTTGAAATACAGTGTTGTGAGAGACAGGATAATATAGTATCAGGAGAAGATATAAGGAGTACACAGAGTCACTGTATCAGAAGGAATTGGCTTGACAGAAGAATTTAATGAAATAACACATAAGCAAGAACCTATGGTGATGAAGGAGGAAGTTCAAATTGCTCTGAAGGAATTGGCAAAAAAGAAGGCTCCAGGAGTTGATGACATTCCAGTTGACATATTTCAACAGACACTGCCCTGGATGTACTCACTAAGTTGTGCCAAGAAATCTGGAGGACAGCCAGCTGGCCGATTGACTGGAAGAGATCGATATTTGTTCCCATTCCAAAGAGTGTGGGAATTATCGAACAATATCATCAATATCACATGCAAGCAAGATTCTGCTGAAAATTATCCAAAAATGTTTAGAGCAATATGTCAACAGAGAACTGCCAGATGTGCAGGCTGGATTTAGAAGAGGTCATGGTACTAGGGATAGTATAGCTAATGTCAGATGGATTTTGGCAGAAAGCAAAGAATACCAGAAGAATGTCTATCTTTGCTTCATTGACTATGCGAAGGCTTTTGACTGTGTGGATCACCTCTCAAGTGCAATGACATCAGGCTGGAGACTAAGATGCGCCTGATCCAGGCTATAGTCTTTGCAATTACGTGCTATGCATTGGAGAGTTGGACAGTGAATAGGGATGATAGAAAGAGAATTGATGCCTTTGAGCTGTGGTGCTGGAGAAGAGTGTCGAATATACCATGGACTGCTAGGAGAACAAGCAGGTTTGTCCTGGAGAGGGTGAAGCCAGAATGTTCCCTGGAGTCAAGGATTCTGAAGCTTCATTGAACATACTTTGGGCATGTTGCAAGGAGAGACAGGTCCTTGGAGAGTGAAATCATGTTTGGGAGAGTGGGGGGACAGCGTAGGAGAGGAAGACCCTCAATTAGATGGATCGACTCTGTGAGTGGAGTGGTGGGAATGAGTACATTTGAGATGCCTAGGTTGGCACAGAATAGAATGGCGTTTAGAGTTCTTGTACATAGGGTCGCTATGAGTTGCAAGTGACTCGATAGCACATAACAACAACAACAACAACAACATCAACATACAGGAAAACCTGTGCATGTGACTATCAATCAAATTTATGCACCAACAACCAGAACCAAAGAAAAGGATAGATGATTTTTACCAACCTTCGCAGTCGGAAATTGATTGAACATATAACAAAAATGCATTAATAATAATGGTGACTAAATGCAAAAGTTGGGAACAAAAAAGGACTGATAGTAGGAAAACAAGGACCTGGTGATAGAAATTAGGCTGGAGATAGAATTTTGTGTAATCAGTGATTTATTCATTGCAAATACATTTTATAAGAAACACAAACAGTGACTATACCCATGGGCCTCACCTGATGGTCTGCACAGGAATCATATTGATTACATTTGTGGAAAAATTTGTTGGAAAAGCTCAATATCAGCTGTGAAAACTAGGCCAGTTGCTGATTGTGGAACAAACCATCACTCATATGCAGATTCAAACTGAAACTAAAGAAAATTAAAGCAAATCCACAAAACCCGAAATTTGACCTTGAGTCTATCCCACCTGAATTTAAGACCTTGAACACTAATGAACAAAACCTATATGAGCTGAGGGATTATATCAAGTATACCATCTATAAAGAATGCAAAAGGTCATTACAAAGACAGAGGAGGAAGAAAAGAGCAAGATGCATGTCAGAAAAGATTCTGAATATTGCACTAGAGTGCCAAGAAGCCAAAACAATGGAAGGAAATCAGAAAGTTAAGGAGCTGAACAGAAGATTTCAAAGGGTAGCTCTGGAAGACAAAGCAAAGTAGTATAATGAAATGTACAATGAGATGGAGTTGGAAAATCAAACAATCGAACTTGCTCAGCATTTCTTAAGTGGAAGGAACTGAAGAACAAATTAAAGCTAAGAGTTACAATACTTAAGAATGCTTTATATAGAACATGAAATGATCCAGGAAGCACCAGAAAAAGATGGGAAGAGTACACAGAGTCATTCTACCAAAAAGAATTGGCTGACATAGAAGAATTTAATGAAGTGGAGCTCTGGTGGCCTAGTGGGAAGAAGCTGTACTACAATCCCAGAGGCACACGGTTCGAATCCACCAGATGCTCTACTGGGGAAGGAGGGACAATTTCCTCCTGTACCAGTCAGATCTGATTTGATGGTACGCACAAATAATAAAATAAAAAAAAGAAGAATTTAATGAAACAACATATGATCAAGAGGCAGTGGTGATCAAGGAAGAAATTCAAGCTGCTGTGAAAGAATTGGTGAAAAACTCAGCCCCAGGAATTGATGGAATACCATTTGAAATATTTCAACAAGCAAATGCAGCCCTGGACATTCTCATCTGGTTGTGCCACGAAACCTGGAGGACAGTTACTTGGCCAGCAGACTGGAAGAGATCCATATTTATTCTTGTCCCCCCCTCCAAAAAAAAGTAATCCATCCTTTGCAGCATTCAGGAACAACTTTTTCAAAAAATACTACATAATTTGGGAGAAACTGGAGAGCATTATGCTAAGCGAACTAATTCAGTCTTAGAAGAACAAATGTTGCAACTGAGTTGTAAAACAGGACTGACAGCAGGATTGGGGAGAGTCTAAGAAAAGAGGGGATTGTATAACAATGAATTTTGTTTTTCTTTTCAAAGAGAAAAGTGAACTGGTGTGGGGAGTGGGCAGGGAGGAAAATGAAACAGTGAATGAATGGGGGAAAATTAAATGGGAAGAATATGCTGTAAAAAATAAATATATATGTTGCATTAAAAACAGGACAAAAAATGAACAAATATTGCATAAGACCATTATTGCAAAAATAGGAGGATAACTAGTAAATGTATGTGGGGATCCAAGGAGGTAAGGGGTGGAAGTGGTGGGGTGAGGATGAGTAGGGGCAAAACCACAGGGTTGTAGAGTTTGGTGTGTGGAGTGAATGAGTGAAGGAAATGGGAAAGATCTGGTGGGAACCTGAAAAGACAGGGTTTAATTTCATAAAACAATGTTTGGGAATGAGTGTATGAAATACAACGTGAATGAAGAATAGTGTGAAATGATGTATGCAAACATTTTAAGCAAACCAATATAAAAGAAAAATAAAAGGTGATCTAACAGAGTGTGGAAATTATCAAACAAGATCACTAATATCATATGCAAGCAAAGTCATACTGAAGATTATTTTCTAAAAAAAATGACTGAAACAGTACATCGACAGAGAACTATCAGAAATACAAGCTGGGTTTAGAAGAGGCTGAGGCACTAGGGATATCATAGCCAATCTCAGATTGGTCTTGGGTGAAAGCAGAGTATCAGAGGAATGACTATCTGTATTTCAATGCAAAGATGGTGGTGGATCTCAGCAAACTGTGGCTAACCTTGAGAAGAATGGTAATCCCAGAACACTTGATTGTGCTCAAGGAAGTAGTCCTCAGAATAAAGCAAAGAAACACTGCATGGATCAAAACCAGGAAAGGAGTGAGTCAGGGATGCGTCCTGTCTTCATAACTTTTCAATCTATATGCAGAACAAATCATTTGTGAGTCTGGACTTTATCAGGGGTAATATGTCATCAGGATAGGAGGAAGACTCATCAACAACCTGTGATATGGAGATGACACAACCTTGCTTAATGAAACTGAAGAGGACCTGAAGCATTTTCTGTAGAAGGTCAAGGACTGTAGTGCTCATTATGGACTGAATTCAACATCAAGAAACAAAGATTCTCACCACTGAGCCAGTTGGAAGCAC